GCTATATTTAATGTAATGGGTATATGAGGAAACCAGCATTCAACCAATTTCTTTCATACTCATTATTAAAGTAGCATAATTTCTGGGAAAACTTTTCATCCAATTTGATTAAGATATCACACATCTTGACCAACATAAAAGGTATAATTCAGGTGGCAAGTCTGAATGGATGCAAACACTCTATAGGGTATATTTGGGCTAGGAAATCGGTTTGGACCGTTGCTTCCACGCAAATTATATAGCGCACGCTCTGACCGACATATTCAGGATAAAGTCTGCTAGAATAAGTAATACCAATACTAGTAGTATGTGAGAGCTAGGAAAATATGTGATCCTATTTCACACATTTATGACATCAAATTGTAGTGTATCCAATGTTATGCATTCATTTAACGATTATTTTCAGATTCGGACGATTACTAATTGATTACGATTACAGATAATCGGAAAATAGTCAAGATTAATAAAAATTTCGAAAAAATAATCAAAAATAATAAAAAGTAATTACTTTTGATTGTTTTTGATTATTATTATTATTTCTTTTTTTTGCGAAATTGTGGCACTAGTGTTTCATGTTACTACTGGTGTTCATCAATTTGATAATTGATAACCTGTTGCATTCTTCTTGATTCTGTATTTTGTATAAAGTAAATATTTCTCTGCGTATATTTTTTTGTGAGTGTTGCGTTACACTTTACATACTTGTTATCAGGGTTGGGCATAGTACAATAAAAAATAAGTACAACAAGGTTTCTATTTCTTCAGTGGTAGTTAAACAGCAAAATCCATTATCACTGAAAATTCAGTGATAGTGGAAAAAATGCCATTATCACTAAACCTTTATTCATATTGAAAAACAAATTGCACTACCATTAAAGGGTTAGTAATTGAACACCTTTAGTTATAATTAACATTTTTCAGTAACATAACACTGTTTCTTAAAGTATAAAAGTAATACTACGTATGTATATGTATAAGCTGAAGCAGTATGAGGAAATGTATTCAAAATAAACCATATATTTGAGTAGAGATTTCTAATTATGCCGCACTAAAATTAGGCAAACATAATTTATTTTTTATTTGCTTTCTTTAATACCAACATTTCGAGATTTTTTTTGCCATCTATTGACAATTGCAAAAATAGTGCTCACTTAAATATTGCATTACAGTTACTCAAATGTGAGTACTCACTTAAATATTGCATTTGTTCAATTTTACAAACTAACACTTAACTTATGCATGCTTACGGTAAGTCGACCATACTTTGCTTTTCCTTATAGGCTAGAGATATTGCACATATGTATGTAACATATGTACCTTTGCTAGCATAAGTGCTCATTAGAATTTTGCCGCACTGAGCAATAGGCTGCATAAGCTATGCAGATCCCATGAATTGCAACAGTTATCATCTCTTATTTTAAAAAGGGAACAGAGGTTAAGAGAAAGGTTCCAACCATATTTCATGTTGAAGCCTGAGGCAAATATTGCAATTGCAGCAACAGTCCTAACTCAAAGCATCAAAATGAAATGGATCAAGATGTTGCTGAGATTAAATCCGGAATTACCAGAATTAACTGTCGAAAATATAACCAGCAGAGTTTTAGAAACTTTACAGGTTTTACGCCAAAAATTGTAAAATATTTAATTTTGAATGG